TGGAGTGCTGCCGATGATCTCCTCCCTTGCTCTTTGAGTTCTTCGACTCGTTCGGCCGCTCACTCTTCTTATACTCCGTGAGAGCCTCTGCCGTTGCCAAGGCAGTAGCAAGATCTTGCACTCCACGCCTCTCAAGCTCCAACTTCGCCCAAGGCTGCAATCCGAAAAGGAAGCTAAACAAAGCCTCCTTGTCCGCCAGATCGGGGATCTCGAGTAGCAATTTCGAGAACTCCTTGACATAGTCACGAATTCCGCCGGTGTGGGTGAGTCGTCGAAGCTTTGCACGAGCCTCCAATTCGACATTCTCCGGGTAGAATTGTCTCTTGATTTCCCGACGGAAATCCTCCCATGTGTCCATCACACATGTGCCTCTCTCTACATCACCTTGCCTCCTTCTCCACCAAACCATGGCCGTGTCGACCAAGTAAAGGGAGGCAGTGCGCACCATGACTTCATTATCATTGATGCCCGAAGCCTTGAAATACTGTTCTAGGCTCCATAGGAAATTCTCTAATTCCCTCGCGTTCCTTGACCCACCGAAGTTCGTAGGCCTTGGAACATCTACTCGCGGTGTAGATTGAGTCGCGGCAGGTCCGTTAGCCACGGCTCGTTTGACGAGATTGAGCTCTCCTCGAAGCTTGTCAAACTCTTCCTTCACTTCGTCCACCTGGCCTCGAACTGTCTCCCTCAAGGAGTCGATGGCGTTGGTGATGATGGTCACAAACTCGTCTCTGAAAGCTTCTAACCCAACCTCCAAGCCTGACATTCGAGTGCCCATGCCTTGCATGTCGTCCTTCGAAGTCTGCGCCTCTCCGCTGACTTGATCGAATTTCGACTCCATGTCCTCGAACAAGGTTGTATGCTTGGCAATCTTCGTCTCTGCTCTCTTGAGCCTCTCCTCGATCGCCACCAAAGGCTCTCGAGTTGATCTATCACGATGCTTCTTGGCATTTGGATCCTTCTTCTCCTCACGACCGCGTTGTTCCTCATTGTTGAGAACTTCGCTTCCGGATCCAGCCATCTCCTCGAGGTTCTTTCTCACTTGCTGAGCTACAACCTTGGCTCTGATACCACTTGTCACGGACCAACTCTTGGCCGTGCGGCACTTAGCACTCAAGTCTCGTTAGAGCGCTAAGTCAGCCTTGCTCGTATTCACTCAAACTCACAAGTATGGAGAAATGCTCTAGAGATGGAAACTCTCAATTTCTGGATGAATGAAAAGTGGTGGAGAGGGCTGCTTATATAGGCATCCTCTCCACTAAGTACAATGTACATGGCCGTCATAAATGAACGAAGCTAGATAGTCCCCCCATGCATGAACCAGCCCCATACATGAATGTAGTAAATAAGGTGCATGAATAAAAGATAGAAAAAGGGGGATGCATGTACATTGGTGCATGAATCGGAAGATGCATGCATGTACTTGCATCGTTCTAGAATGCTCTAGAATCTTCTGCGTAACAGTACCGCCGGTAAGCTCTCTCCCTCTGCCACAGCTCATCAATGACATCGTATGGGTTTGTGTTCTACCCAGCCAAAAGAAGATGAAACGAGGAAGACAATGACAAAATTGAAATTAGGTTTTTGCATAACTTAATCCACAAACAAAAATGATTTTGGGGCAAATCTCACATACAAATTACTTAGGGGTCGTTTGGACGGAACATTCTCAAAATGAGGCAATTTGGGATAAAAGTCTCATTTTAAAAAATGAGCTAATTGTATGAGGAAATGTCTACGTAATTGTCTTGTTTGGCTTGTGATTAGGCATTTTATGAAAATACATATTTGCTTTCATTCTTTTACCCTTCTCCATCTTGGGATGGGAAGAAAGAAAAAAGAAAGTAAATCAAAGGGTTAGATTGGGAAAAGTGACCCACAAAATTGAGTAATGTAGATTACCTCCCTCCCACCCAAGTTATTGACATTGACCCATAATGAAACAATTTCAATTGTCGCATATCCAATTGCCTCATTGTTACTTTTTGCAGCCAAACGGGATAATTTGGTCCAATTGTCTCATTTTGAGTCAATTGAGGCACATTGACTCATCGCTTTGATCTATCCAAAACCTAGTTGAGAAATTTGGGCTTAAATCCCTCAACAGTCAAATCACTCATCCAAACGACTCCATATATTTGTTTTAATGGTGAGATTGTGAACTGGATTCAAAGTAAACAGACGTTGCGGGTGCATAGCTATTTGAACTCTCAAATAAAAAATCATATTTGTGTGAGAAAAACTTGCAAAAAAAGTGTATAGACTTCTTGTTTTTAAAGTTTAAACATTGTAATCCTTAGGATTCTCCGGTTACACTTAAAATGGAAGATCTAAGTGACCTCCAAACGACACATACGATACGAGGCACGAGCGAGTGGGTTAGATTGGTCAGACTATGTAACTAGCTAGGGTTTTTTAAGTGTAAAGCAAGCCATTATACTAAACTAGTCTTTTTCGTTCACCCTAGCTAACTATGTAACTGGCTATGATTATGTCCGTCTTTTGTTTACCTAATGCATGTACTTAATAATTTAATCACGATTTAAATTATTAAGTACAATTAATAATCTTTAAAACACTTTTGACAGTGAGGATTATGATGTAATCAATAGATTAGTATCTTGATTCTTCACGTACGTAACTCAAAACTAGGATCGCACAACCTAGAGTCCAAGTGGATTGGGACTTTCAAATCGGACAAAAGTCACAAAACCAAAGAATTTGCAAACCTTGGCTAGTTCGGAAAAAAACACAAATATTTATCATTTGGCACATACAAGAAGCCAATAACTAATCATGCATGCTCTACTTCTCTAACTTAATTAGTTTATGGTTCATATATGGGAGTTTGAGTTACAACTACAAGAGGCTCCTCGCTCTTTTTCGGTCAACTTGTTTAAGCGGGTTAAGTCATAAGAGTTTGAGAAAACTAATAAATACATTATTGTAGAAAATAATTATTGGTGCCAAACTAATCGTGTCAAATTGGTTTGGAATTGCGCTGACCAAATTGGTTTTGGGATAGACTGATCGAATCAAATATTCTAAATCTGTGAAAGGGCACGTCCCTTTGATTATGAATAGAATATATGGTTCCTACTCATGTTCATTTACAGCCGCATTGAAAATATCATATTACAACCCAACTATCATCTCTGGGGTCATTTGGAAGTTGAGAGTACAGGTGATGTATTTAGCCAATACACGTAATCATAAGAATTCACCATTTTTTTTTGTCATTAAATGAAACAAAATGCTTGTATTTTAATAGCATATGAGACCACCAGAATCATTGTTTGCAGTTAAAACACAATGATATGTTTTTATTAGGGTAAATGCCACATTTGGTCACTGATATTATTAAATCATGTCATGTTTAATCATTAGAAAAATTTAATATAAATTTTGGTCACTCGAAATACTGAAACATGTCACGTTTAATCACTCTCTTGTTAGTCTCCACCCAACTCCGGTCACTCGAATTACCGAAACATGTCACATTTAGTCACTTGAATTACTAAAATATGTTACATTTAGTCACTCTCCCATTAGTGTTCGTCCAACTCCATTAATGGAGCTGTACGGAAACTGACGGGAGAGTGACTAAATGTGACATTTTTCAGTAATTCAAGTGACCAAAATTGATATTAAATTTTTCTAGTGACTAAACATGACTCGATTTAGTAATCTTAGTGACCAAATGTGGCATAAACCTGTTTTTATTATAATTCGAAACCAAATTTTAGCACTTAAAATGACTTTGTCTTGAACCTCTAAAGTAGCATTATTGCCTTAGGTGATCGATTCAAATACCAAGACTCAATGCATGTGGTTTCTTCCCTTGAGTGATGACAATTTCTGACCTACTATGTGTGGTCATAGAGTTAGTAATTAGGATCCAAATCCATAAATCCAATCCATCCACCAAATTATCTATCTAATCCAATCAATTTAAATTCAATCCATTTGATCCAATCTAGTTGGATTGCTGGATTCATGGATTCAAATGACAAACTACGATTTAGTACCTATACTTTTTAAATTTTAAATTTTGACACCTAAAATTTATTTTTATACGAAGATAACGTTTTGGTGCCTAAAAATTTTCATCATGACATTTAGTACCTAAACTTTTCAAAATTTTACAAAATGGTCAAAGGCTTGGATGTCATTTGGATTCATGGATCAATCAACCAATCTATTTGATCCAATCTATGAATCCACCAATCCATTAGATCCCGATTTGATCCATGAATCCACTAATCCATGAATCCAATCCAATTGCCACCTCTACGTGGCATGACTAACCCAACCTATTTGATGTAAGTATTACCCGACTCGTAATAACATGAGACTGAAATAATGACTTACCCAACCCTGTTTTACTTTAAGTTTCACCGTTATCTACTTGTATTCCCTTCTTTTACTTTTCTTAAATCATCTTTTTGCCCCAACCAAACCTTGAATAAGTGCAAGATTTGCTATTTTATTTCTTAGTCTCACTTATTCAATCAACTAAGTGTTTTCACTTTGCTTTCTCATAAAAAATTAAATATATACAATATTTTCTACAAAACAACTTATAAAAATGATTGACCTCATCTTATACCCGTTTAAATATTTTCCAACCTAACTCGCAGCTAATACGAAACAAACATCAACATTGAGGTACCCACCAGGTCCCACCATTATCGTCACTCCTCTCTTTTACTTGCTGGAATAATTGTGTACTTTAGTTTCTATTTATTGGAAAACAAGCTTAATTAAATACTCAAATATGGAGAAAATATAGCAAAAAGGGGAAAGAATGATTGAGGAGAAGGTTTGGACATTTGGAGAGGAAGAGTCATCATTCTCATGCCATTTGTCATCAGCCAAACCTCTGATTCTAACCAAGTGATCCCACTATCAGTGAGAACATGAAACGTGTCACCCACTGATTCGTCGACAGTTTGATACTAGAAGCAATGACGTGCAGCCATGGTAGCTTATTTCGTGCACCTGCCCGTACTGGATCCCGATCTCCCTCACTCAACTCTCCTCCCTTCCCCTTCTCTTTCTCAGACAAAAAAAAAAAAACGCCATTTCATCGTCTCTCGAAGATCTGCAAGAGAAAAACTACACCGAAAGGAGAAGCGACTCTCCCTCCCATTTTCTCCCTCCCCTCAAATTCTCCCCTCCCATCTCTCTCTCGTTCCTTCTGTCTGGGCATGGCGGACGCCGCCGAGCCACCGTCGACGTCGACGAGCGACCCGAATCCCTCGGCGAGCCCTGTGTCCCCGAGCTCCCAAATCCACCCGCGACGGGAGCCCTTCGAGCACGGCCTCCTTCCAATCCCGAAGCTCATTTTCCCGGACCCCACGCAGACCCTGGGCCAACTCCGGCAGAAGCTCGCGTCCCAGCCGCGGGTCGACGCCGCCGCCCTCGCCGAGGCGCTGCAGATCTCGGCCGACCACGCGAGGCTCGTGCTCGATACCCTCGCCTCCGTGCTCCACTCCGAGTCCGACCCGCTCGTCAAGGCTCCGCCCGGGGAGATTGATTCCGTCGGGGCGGATTCGCGTGATCTGGTACTCTTCCTGTACATACAATCGTATAAGAAGCTGCTGCCCAGGACGCACAAGGACTCCGCTGCCGTGGCCGATGTTTGGCCCTCCACGTCAGCGTTCGACGGTTACTTGTCCGCTCTCTCGCCGCTTCAGGTGAATTTTGTGCTCTATTCTAGACTGTTCAATTGTGTAAATGGTTGGTCCTTTAGGAGGATAACTCTGCGAATTGATAAGTTCGTTGTTTCAATTGGGGCATTGCCTTGCTTATCTTGGAAATGTGTGGGTTATCTGTGCTTTATCGTTAATTTACAATGGCAGTCTCTGCAATTGTTGAGGATTTTGAAAGAGTTGTGGCTTCTTTGTTGACTGAGTTATTTGCTCCGTGATATTGGACCTTTCTGGTAGATAGTGTTGTAATTGGGAACTTGGTATTAGTTAGGTTTCATATTGATGAATTGTAGTGGAAGCTATTATTGTAGTTGAGTAGGGATCAATTAGCTTGGGAGAAGGCCTGTATTTTGCTGACAGTAATATCAATGGGAGTGAGTGTTGAAGAACACTAGCTTAACTTACCCTGGCTGGTTGATGGCTTGTGAGAAGGTTAGTTTCAGTTGGAGGTCATCTTACGAAGTCGTGATTTTACTCAAAATAATTTATGAACCTTGCACAGACCTATAGGGTGTTGTTTAGACAATAAGTATGGCAACATCATTAATGGGTGGGAAAATTTGTAAGTCTACGAAATTTATGACCGATCGATTAAATAGGTTGTTGCTTGATTTACATTTTGACTTCATACGATCCGTCTTAATGCCAAGTCCATTTTTTCTTCTTCTTCTGAATCTTCATGTTCTTGTTTGTAACCTGATTCAAGTGAACCCCCATGTCCTCTTAATCGGCCATTTGGTCTTTAGATTTAAGTGCTCTTTTTTTATCCCCTACGAATGAAGTTCTTATAGCCGGTATAATGTTGGGCCAAGACAACACAAATAAATGTTTGGCCACTGTATCTTAGACCTGTTTACATTTGAATCTAAATGTTTTATGTATACTATCATTTGAGGAGCTGGAATGGAATGATCTTTCTCAACCTTGCTTTTGTACCAACATCTTGGGGATTTTTAGGAGTTATATATACATTCAGAAGCAAAATGAACTAAGATTCTGAAATTTGGAGTATATCCCAGTTACCAATGTTATATCCTGGAGTTCTTATGGTTGTTTGTCCACTTGTGCTTATGTGGTATTTGCACAATGACTTCTCCCAATGGTTCCGTTGTCTTGTAGCTTGTACGCAGCAACAGCCGCCGTTTCATGCCATCTCAGGCTGATGAAGAGGCTCATCAGTTATCATATTTACAAAAGCACATGGGTAACATTCTTTCTCTGCTGGCGGAACCTGTTGAAGGAGAAGGAGAAAGCGAAGAGTCCCTGGTTTGTAAAATCAGACTGCTCTGTATCTTATGCTGCTTATTTCTGTGATTTTTCATGTGATAACTGCTGGCTTATGAATGTAATAAGATTATCCAGCATAGTTATTATTTTCTGTTCCCTTTTTCTATGTATTTTTTTTTATCATCATCATATTGTTCTGTTTTTAATGGTTGAAGCTTTGGTTTGATTCTCTGCTGTACTTCTGCAAATCGGTGCTAATCTGACAGTTGCAACCACTTTGTCTCAGGTTTTGACCATGGAAGGACTTGAGCACCTTGGATTTCTTATCCAAGTTGGCGAAAAGAGTTCTGAAGGAGTTTCACTAGGCCAAGCTGCTCCGTTCTTTGCCAATTCAGATCCTGACATGCCGGCTGTTCCAGTCCCTGCTGCTGAAGTCCTTGACTGGGTATCACAAAACATTTCCTCCGCGCTGGAGGCTATTACTGAAAGAATATCTGCTAAAGAGAATGGTCCATCAAGTGCATCTGATCAAGATGTAGCCATGGCTGATAGCTGCAATAACTCTGGCAAGACTGCTCCCAGTTCCAGAGGTACAAGCTTCATTGAGGGTATCTCCAAATCGTCGTATGTAAAACAGGCATCGGATCTTAAAGGCTCCTCAGTAAAGGTAGGAATTGGAACCATAATCTCCTGTTTTCCCCCTTCAAGAAATGCAGCTACAATAATTCTTGCTAGCATGCCTTGATTTTGATTCTACCCAAATTGAACTTAGCTCTATGCTTGCTGTGCTCTAATACTTTTCTGAGCATTTGAATAGCTTGTCTGCTCTCAATCTAGTGAATCATGAGCCTAATCCTATAGATTATGCTGGCTATATTATCAGAACTATTGATGCCCAGCACTCTTCCAGTTATTGTTTGTCTTTACGACTTGAATTTATGCCATGTACGGCCTTATGGATAGTTTTAATAATTTCTTCGTTATGAACTTTTCATGCTGTTATAATGGCTGCAGTTACAAGTTGGGTTTTGCACTCACTGATTGTACCTATTCCATGTTAGATGGAGATAGATGTTATTTAGGTGATGACTTAGTGTACCCTCTGGATCAAAATTGATCCAAATTTATCCAGGGCAATGATTGAACTATAATTCTGAAGAAGTGGAGCTGATTTTCCTTATTATGGCTTTTTCTGAAATAGCATTATATCCTTGAGTGGTATTAGCTAACTGATTTGGCTATCTTGTCATTCAAACCATATTATGGTTCTCGGATATTCCGATACGGAAAATGCATCTCCATCCTAAAATTGTGTTTATGGAAATGGGATTATCCTTTACCCTTGTGAGTCTTCTTTTAAACTCAGAGGCTTGGTTTCCTTCATTGAGACCTAGCATTTATGCTACAATTCATGATTTAAATGTATGAAACCTGAAAACTTGAACGGCTCGCGTCATAAATTAGGGGTGCACAATGGCCTTAGAGCCCAGAGGTATCTGGTCTTTATATTATTGTTTCCTGAAGTGATGCATCTGACTGCTGAACTGGTATTCAAGCACTTCTAGGAATACATAGCTGTTTAATCTTATGTTTGTGATTATCCCATCTCATTGTAGATGGTCGACCACGAACTATCACCACTACCAACCTCTTTCCTTAATTGCTTATTTGTGGAATTGTAAGGAACTTGGACTGGTCATCAAAGTTTGCTTTAGTTAACCTGGTTTTTCAAACTGTTTGGATGATTGCAGGTTTTAAATTGTCATGATTCCGTCATTTATATCTTAGCACCATTGAGATATGCCACAGTCTATGGATGCTCTGACTCTACTATCGTTCTTGGAGCTGTCGGAAAGGTAAGGTCCATTTGGCCAACTATTGTGTCTTACTATTGCTGCCTGGTTTCAATGCTTTGCATTTGATGATGTTCCATCTTAATTCTAGTCCTTAGCTGAAATTTCCATTTAGTGCTTCTACCCTTCTGTCCCGATTGTCTGTTAATAGTCCTGTTTGATGACACTGAAGGCTATGTTCCTCTTATATATATTCTCTTTTTTTTTTCAGGCTGTAAGGATTGAACACTGTGAGCGGGTTCATGTGATTACAGCTGCAAAAAGAGTATGTATTGCTAATTGTCGAGAGTGTGTATTCTTTCTTGGTGTAAACCAGCGGCCACTCATGGTTGGGGATAACCATAAGCTACAAGTAAGTGTTTATCGATTTGTTGTTGGTTGTTTTGAAAGTAAGATGTTAAGAGCAATTCAACTGGTCGTTGAACGATGCTTAAAACACCTACATTTCGAGCGGGATAGCTATAGCTGTCTTTACAATAGTGCTTTCTATTTCTTTTCCTGTGATTTTAAGCATAAAGTCGACAGAAAATGGTTCTGATATAATTTGACAATCTAATCCAGGTGGCTCCATACAATACATTTTATGCTGATTTGGAAGCACACATGGCTGAAGCTGGTATTGAAGCAAACATCAACAAGTGGGATAAGCTGCTGGCCTTGGGAGTTGTTGATCCTCACGATTCATTATCACATCCTGCGGGTGTCTCTGATGTTCAAGCCGAGACTGCCACACGAATAGATCCCGACCTTTTCACAAACTTCCTGGTATTGCATTATCTTTATGCATCTGTAATAATTAATTTTCATCCTGCCATCAGTTGGTAATATTTTTCATCACAGTGCGGTATCTAAATTTGTATAGTTTTGCCTTGAGAATCTAAGCCTTAGCAGATATGTCGTGTACTTGTTCTTTCTTGATACAGATTCCAAACTGGTTTGGAGGCGAATCATCAGGGATGACAAAAGATAACCCGTTCCCATTGCCAGACAATTATATGGAATCCCGTCAGAAAAATGTAGGCATTCCATTCTATTATCTCAACTCATCAGAATATTCATTTGGCATAGCCGTTTTTCAAACTGATGAGTTCAACTCACGGGAGTTATTGTTCACTGCTCCTTCAGCTAAAAAGCTTGGATGAGATGAAACAGCTATTGAGGGACACTCCACTTGAAGACAGCAGGAAGCGGGAACTGTCATGCGCACTCCACGTGCTGTTCAAAGATTGGTTATATGGTAATGATCTGTATCATTTTACTCTGCCGTTTCGCGCAAATTGGGGACTATGCAGTTTATTTTTCTCCGACTTTGCCTTTCAAGGATGTAAATGAGATGATGAATTTCATGTTTTGATGACACTGCAGCTTCAGGTAATATCCGCCAACTTTACTGCCTACAAGGCGACTAAGGCCGGTCCAACCCTCAAGGAAATGGAGGAACGCGTTTTTGTAGCATTGCTGGGAATCTGTTTCTGTTTATTTTTTGCATCCATCATCGAAAGGCAAGCTCAAACGTGTACTCATTGAATAAACGGTACAACCGACGATGTCGATTAGCCTGTTTGACAATGGTGCACAGAATATACATGCCATGCCATGCCGCCTCCCCCTACTCTAATCTCACTGTAATATTATTTTTTTGGTCTTTGAGTCTTCTGTTCTTTAAGAGAAGGAAAGGAAAAGTTCTTACTGTAATATTTGTTTACACCCTCCTGGTTAGGTTCCCAGTTTTCTTGTGAATTCCATTTTCAACGTTTGGCTTTTTTTAAATATCGGAATTGTTTCCTTTTCTTCCTTCCTTTCAGTTTAGCCAATGTATTGGTTGGCCATTGATTTTATACCTGGGCAGGATTGTTCATTTGCAGTTGTTTTTTACTTTGGATGGATATAAACGACGATAGTTTAAGATTCGAGGAACTGTTTCGAGATTATGGCAACCGCACTCGTTAGGTACAATACTGTGGTAGTCTAGCTAGCAGGCACAAGTGCTAAAAGCTGCTCTGCTTGGTCCGGAAAGAATGTGATGAACAGAAATGCACCTGCATACCAATGACGTTAATTAGGCTAACAATTAAGACAATGTGGCTGAATAGATCGTGTTTGGCCTCGACTTACAGATGAGTACGGTTCCAAGAACAGCTGAGATCTTGCCTTGAACTGTGACCAAACCGGCTTTACCAGCATCTTTTAGCTCAGTCTTACCTTCCGAATCAAATGTACCTATGTTCGTTCGGACGAAGCGTTACTTTGGGCATGGAGATAACGTGATAAATGGCGTAATGAGAGTGGACGAAGTTTGTGTACCAGAATCTAACCTGGTGAAACGGATTGAAGACCAGATGTTATACATGCTATGTTCTCAAAACCGGCACTCTCTAACTTGTTCGCTGCCGCGGCAGACCTGCAATAAGCTTTATGTGAATTCACTTGAAGGTATTGACGAGCCCAAGAACACAACGAACTGGTGTAAAAGAATAAGGCACATCTCATCAAATGGCTGGGGAAGAAACAAATCAACGGCTAAGAGCAAGATATGGCGCGCCAGACAAGAGTAAAAAAACTAACAGATGGCGTCGCCCAGGTTTGAACTGGAGACCTTCAGTGTGTTAGACTGACGTGATAACCAACTACACCACGACACCAGAATTGAAAGTAATCTTTTGTCATTGCTATGGATACAGTAAATACATTCCAAATGAAACCAGAATCCCAAATTCACAATTAGTTCATATCATCGTCAGCAACTCAGCACAGCAAGCATTCAAGATAACAAAGTGGGTTGGAGATTGGTGAGTCAGCTCACCTCAGTCCTTCCTGGCACACGAGTAAAAGTTTGCTTCCGGCTGAAAACTTGGTTTTGACCGACTCAATGAACTCAGGGTTAGGCTTAGTGAAAGGTAGTCCAAAGAACAAACCCGAGAAGTTGTTGTGCACTGTCCTTAAAACAAAGGTACCTGCACAACCACAAGTTAACTGAGGATCCTCAAATCATATCATTCCCGATTAAAAAATCTTGAAGAACTCTCCAATACTGTATTGAAACAAGACTTACCAATGTCATTATCTTTGTTCTCTATGAAAAGAGGAACGTGGTAACACGACTTTATACGAGCTCTCTCAAATTGCGTTATGTCCCTTACATCAACCACCGCATACCCTTCTTCTGATACCAGCTTTTTTGCTTCATCTGCCTTCACAAACTTCACCTCAGCTCTAATCCCGTATGCATTTCTCCTTCGATTCGGTTTCCACAGTGCTTTTCTTCCATTGTGATGGGCCTGGAATTCTAACCAAGACACAGCAACATGGCTGAAACCACACACACGAGGTAACTTCATTAGTTTTCACTAATTCAAAGTTACCAGGTTTCCATATACATACAAATGCATTGCTGAAGCCTCAAAAATCAGTGTTCAGCCAGGTGGAAGTACAGTAACTAGTCGCTGGAAGTTGAAACCAATGCCATACTGGGACAGAAACCATCATTTCATTTTAGCAAGTTTTCGGTTACACAACGACATGAGATCTGGGAATATGCTTTGGTTTGGACTCATAACAAATAGATCAGTGAAGCTCATAACGGAATTTACAAAGCAAGCACAGTCAAATGGCATTGGCTATTCTGTGTTGACGAAATGACAAGGAGATGGATGCAATGTTGGTTTCTGAAGTTGAAACAACACCATTGTCTATTATAGTTTGAGTTCGGGATATAGAGTTTCTTCCTTTTCAGTTAGCCGAGCAATTGGAAACTGGAAAAAAGTCCAGAAACCCATTTAAAATGCAGCAACACGGATAAGATTTGGAACAAAATTCAAATTTATTTCCTCATATAATCATAGAAGGGAAACCCAGATCAACACTCATCTAAATCTGTCACCAAATTGATTCTCAACAGAAAAAGACTTCTGCCCAGGAAGAATGCCACCTCTCCACACAAGCAGTAAGCTTAGCAATAAGAAAACAAAGGGCAGAACGCTCCAGAACCAGAAAAGCATGCAAATTGAAGTAAAAGATAGAACTGCACGGGAGCAAATTGAGAACTAAATGCTTTGGTTTACCTTGTGGAAGAAAGAGTGGAACAACAAGTAGCCAAACCAGCCATTAATATCTGAAAGAGAAGAGCACTGGAATCCAGTCGCTGCTCCTTCCCTCTACCTCGACAGCTCTTCTTCTTTGTTTGTTGTCTCTTTCTCTTGCTGGCGCGGCCTTGGAAGGAGATTATGCGCCTGATTTCGACGGGGGCCATGAAATTTGAGACACTCAATGGGTCATTGACACGTGGCACCTCCAACTGGATATATTTGGGAATGTCTTGGAATGATGCCTTTTTCTTTGGATAAATTTCAACCTTTTAATTAGAATACTTTGCTGAGAAATATATTGCTTTGCTTATCTGGGAAATTAGACAGTGAGCAGCAAAACTTGCAAATTGAAACACATTCCTGCTTAAGGTTCCAAACCCCTTCTGTTTGTCTACAACAGGATAAAACTTACAATTCACCACAAAGAGAATTCATCTCTCCACAATCCCTCTCATTGACTACATATTTATTGAAACGAAAGAAAAACCAAAATGATTACACGTTCTGAGACCAGACGGCAAAAAAAACAAAATAAACTCAACCATACGAGCTCAGCAGTAGGGTTGCCCTGCATTTGAACAAGGGGTGTGAAGAATTATGCCTCGACAGTGGATCTTTTCTTCGTGGTGTAAGGGTAATACTCCTTGCCATTGTCTACTCTGGTAGTCTGGCCTCCAGCATCAATGAGTGACGAGGTAACGGCTAGAGCTGCTCCGGCAGAAAGAGCCGTTGGGATGCTCCTTGCTGTTTTTAACCACAAAAATTAGTCATTTTCCGCTGCTGATGGATCTAAAGTTTGCTTGTTAGCATAAGTTCAGACTTAAAAGGTAAATGTTATTCCATGGCCTAATTGCATGGTTAGGCTTGCTGAAGAGAGTTATTACCAGAATTTGTCAGATGATAATGGAGACAGAGTGCTAAAGGGATGGGATTACATATATGTTGAACATGTTCTTGTACTCAAATAAGGACACCATGCAAAGCAGAATCTCTAGATATCAGTCAGACCAAAGCAGAATTCGTCTCCTCACTTGTTTTTCTAGCAAGCACGGGCATTGACCAACTTTATTGTTTGCTTATGAGCAAATGAGATTTTATCATACTGACTGTGCTTATATCTGGCATGTTTCACGCAAATATACTGCTAGCACATTTGGTTATTCTCAGTTGAAGTGTGCACATTGGGAAAGAATCCAGCACGCAAATGCAATCCTAGGTGCAGAATACATAATTTAGAACCAGTTTCACCACTATCACGTAGGAGCTCACTCATGTGTCATGTTAAAAATATTTTACTGCATATTTAAGACACTACTAGTTTCGAAAGCGCATCAAATCGACCAAAAGCCTCCCTCAAATTTGGTCAACTATCTTATGATAGTGACGAGCAGCATTACCGAAAGAAAGTGTCGTCCCCCACTAATACAGCAAGTAGTATATGTTTCCCAAAACACAAAGTTTCCAAGACACCAAACACCAATGTTTGGGAAGAAGAAACACAATTCAGAGGGCAGGAATTAAAAACAATTATTTATGCAAAAACGTCAACAAGACATTGCCTCCCTAGTATAAGATGGTAAGAGCACAGAACCCACAAAAAGAGAAAAGAAAAAGAGATCATTTTTACCTTTGAAGCCTAGAACTGAAGCCCCAGCAACAAAACCACCAACAGCTCCATTAACGAAATCTCTCTTCGTTCTTTGATGTTGCAGAAGCTGCTCAATACCAATGTAGACACCACCAATGGCAGCAAAGGTCATCCCATAATTGCCCATCATCTTCAGAGTTCTTATCAGCCCTGGAAGTGCAACGTGCTTCTCAACACGAGGCACATCATGCCAAGTGGCCACAATGGTACCGAAAATAGTTCCAGTAACCAATCCTGTGGTCGCGCCTTTTAAAACTTTCATCTTTGGGGTGTCATCATCCTCCAAGTACCTCATCTCCGCTGAATCCATTGCTGCCTTAAAACTCTTATCTGGTGAACACAAAAGTGGGCAAAGAAAAAAAAGAAAGTAAGCATCTTTACAGGAGTCATCAACCCCTCTGAAATGGGATTGCTTCATCCACGCCAAAATCGTTTCCTTAATCATCAAAATTATACAAGGGGAGTATCAGCAAAATGGTCCTAATCACCTAAACAGAAAAACATTTGCCGTACGTATTACCCGGTTTCCCCACAACCGAGGGAAGACTCGAGGACACAGACTACAAAGAATACAAGCGACGAACTGGGCTTCACCAGAGTGATTTTCCACAAGGCAATCCTTTCATTTAAGGGAAGTGAAATTTCTCCCTGGATGGTAAGGTAAGAAATGAGGAAACTGGACACGGGGAGCTGAATCCACCATATCAATCAGCACCAAAAGATAAAAGAGATGAACAGAGCTTCGCTCCATCTACCATTGGCACGCTCGATCGATAAAGAAGTTTACAAAAGGAGGGCATACCCAGGAGCAAGGGCAGTAGCCCAGGTATGAAGCGAGATCATAATGATTCAGAAACCCTAACGTGAACGTATAATTCCACGATTCTGGGCCGAAAACAGGATAGAATTCGAATCAATCGAGGCAGAGAAATTACCTGTCGCTACTGCGGCGGGGAGAAGGAGGAGACTTTACAAAGGCACGGCGATCTTTGAGAGTGAACTTCGTATGCCTGATCGGAGGGAGCTAAGTTACTCTTGGTTCCACACTAAATCTAACAAAGTTTTTGTGGACCTTACTACCCTCGTCTTCTTGCATATATTACAACGGAAAACAAGACATAGAGGCGAGCCTTGAGATGCATTTCTGTAATTGCACTCGGTCACCGGTTTTTACGAACCGGGAAATGTTCAACCCGACCCGAAAGCAGTACAAAACGCAGAAACCAACCCCAACGCACAGTGTCGGACCCAAGTCCAGTGGAAGAGAAGAAAAAACGCTCGTAGTAAGCTCGGAAGTTGTTTTCAGTCGATTCGATTCGATTCTCCAAATTCTCCCGGCGGCGAAAGAAATGCAGAATCAGGAGGATATCCGGAATCTCCCTATCGACATCACCTTCTCTCGTCTCGGAGGTTGCCATCTTGCCGTTTCCCAGCTCTACTTCAATTCCATCTCTCTCTCTCTTTTTGTACTTAGTTTTTTCTTGTAATTCCTGTTTGTTAATTGAGTTCGTTTCAGTTCTCAAATTGATCGAATTTTTGTGGTCATGATTGTTGGCTTGATTGTTTGTTTCTCCACTTGGAATTGTTGAAGAATGGCTGGTTGATCGGAAGAGGATACCGGCGGATTGGAGGAAGAAAATTGCGGCGATCAGAGCTCGAATTTCCAAGGAATTCTCCTCCCTGCCGAAGGACTTGGATCCTTATTTCCAAACTCTGGACCCTGAAGGTTTGCCTTCTTCTTTCTCATCTGTTGCTTGCATGCTCGGTCTTGAATCGGATCATTACACAACCAATAATAACCAGAATCTGTTTCAGTTTGGTGGGATACTGAGAAAACTGAAATGGGAGACTAAAGCTTTGTGCTTTATGCTTCTATTGAATTTCTGCATTTGATTGAATATATGCGTTGGCAGCTGCAAGCTAGTAAATAAATCAACCCTTACAATTTGATTGAATATCTCACTTAGTCATTTGAACCTTGTTCAAAGATTTGGTCATGTGCGTTCCAGGAGGAGGCTTGAGGGTATGAACCAAGTTTAAAGCTTTCTCTTCTCGACTAGAGGTCCTATAGAGTCAGAAAGAAAATCAGGGTATCTGCTTTGTGGAAGTTCATAGATTGAAATGCAGTCAATGCTTGTAATAGTGAAAATTGGATCTTCGAGAAACTCGCTTGGGCATAGAGAGAGGTCCTTGGGAGTTAACTAATGCTTTGATATTGGCATTGGTGAGAGGTTGGTGAAAGAGTGAAGGAGATAGTTAATGTTGTGAAACATGTATGAAAGTGTACTGGTATGCCTTTACTGAAGCGAAGGAAGTGTTATCAGCGTTCATAATATGGATTTCAGGATCATATCTACTGATGCATTTCAAATATGGCTGGTAGTTAAATCTTTAAGGCATTCATGCATGTTAAGTTTGTGGGTAGCATAATATTGTATAACTATATTGTTAAGGATCTTCACGTTTTAGCCACTGAAGCCCTTTAGATCACTTACCATTGGCATTCTCATTTCAGAGGTTGGTTACTTGGAGGTCAAAAAGATATACGAAATCCTCTCCAAGTCCACTCCAGAGAGCCGAAATATATTTGGGCGGCTATCAGGTCCTGCTGTAAGGCACTCCTCTTTCTGCTACTCTCTCTCTCTTTCTCGGCCTTCTCGATTGCAGTGATGGTTCTTATTCATTGTGCTGCTTTTGTAGGGTGCTTGGGAAGCAATTGTGCAATCTCTTGAAAAGGACCATATATTCCTTGGCGAGGCTGCCCAAACAATAATACAAAATGTGACTTACGAGATGTAAGTGTACAACCTTCTGCTCCCAATTTGGTGAAGAAGAATATTTAGAATCTTTATCTTTATGGTCCACTTGACTGATTACTTCTGTTCTAAACTATGATGAAGCCCTTATCAGAGAAAGCAGGTGCAGAAGATTCAGCAACAGCTAGCAGAACTGGAGCGCAAAGAAACTGATATAAAAAGGAGTGCAGCTTTATCAGCAGCTAAATATGTTGAGGCTTGTCAAGAGCTTGGATTGCAGGTCCAGCAATAGATAGCCTAAATGTTGCCTATTTTTTATTCGCAATGGACTGAATTGTTAAGTCTTGATTTGGCAGGGAAACAATGTGAGGTTTGAACTTCTAGAGACTGCAAAATCTCTCCCAAGCACATTCAGCAGGGTTTTGGAAGTTATAAATGGTGAAAATATGTCTAGAGCAATCGATTATTATTCTGATTTTGTCAGGGATGTTCATACTGAAAAGGATGTAAGCAACTGCTCTCATTTCTCTTTTCAATTATGGCATAGGGATTCATCTACTGGATACTCTGGTCGACTTTGTAGCATGCTAATAGAAATTAATTTAATATTGCCTTAGATAAAGAGTAATTTAGCTCTTACTTGTGCCTTGCAGAAATCTTCAGCAGCAGTCTTGTCAAGCTTGAGGGATATCCGTGACAATCCTCCCTCCCTGAATGTCTCTGCTTCCCATGAGACTTCGTTGTCTGGAAACCCTCAGTTGAATGCTAATATACTGACAGATTCAGGAGGAGAAATTGATGGTGGTGCTGCAGATAACATTAACTGGGATATTTCTGTTGATAGTACTCAGATTGACTGGGATATTGGCACTGTAGAAGAGACATCATATGATGGTGGAAATGGTTTGGGTCCTTATGAAATAGTAGATGCCAGTGAAATATTGCAGGATCCTTCAAGAAATGAAGATGCAGAATCTGGTCAACATCCGGATATGACTGTATCAGAGATCTCTTGGGATGTTAGTGTGGAAACACCTGAGGTTGATGTCATAGACGATGATAATCCTTCCAACTTGGGCACAGGCCATCAGATATATGCTGCAGATGACTCTACTAACACTCTAACTCGAAAGGAAGACAGGAGTCTGCTCTTAGAGACGGAATACAGAAATAAAATTCTTGATGATTTGAATGAGGTATGATGGCGTATTTCTTCCCATCTGGTGTCTCTTATTTCCCATGAAAACTTTACAAGCTCCCACCTTACTTTTTTGCTTTTTGAGCTTGATAGGTGAAAGCATTTTTGAGACAACGGGTGTCGGAGTTGAGGACTGGAGAGACTCAGTCACTGCAACACCAAGTCCAGTCAGTTTCCCCCTTGGTGCTGCAGCAGTATACCCCTGATGCCATTGAGATGATGCTATCCGACATTTCGTCAACCATTTCATTGCTTACCAATAGGAAAACAAGAGACTTGATTATGATTCTCAACTCCAAAAGGTGCTGCACTGAACTGCATATTTTTCGTTTGATCGTACTCTTTTTCACCCTCTTCAATAAAAGTTCAAATGTTTTCGGACGAAGAAAACTGAAACAGCTGAAGATATTTTGGCAGGGTGACCTGATTGGACTTGTAATCACTAGTCTAGGAATAACTTGGATTAAAATGGATGAATTTCTCTGCTATTCATAACCTGGTTATTGATTGTCATAGGAGGTCTATAGTGTCTGCCTTGGTTGTAACTCAAATTTTGTGGTGGGTGGGTGGGAAATTTCAGGTTTTTGGACAGACTGGTTACCAGTTTGGAAGAGAAGAAGCATCACGAGTCCAAGCTAAAAGAAGGACTGAAAGACTTGGCTATTAAACGCATGGAGCTTCACAATTCTTTGTCCTCTTCATGGCCAAAGCAGGTAAACAGTTCATTCGGAAACTTGTAGTAAAGGTAGGAGAAATGATCAAATTCCCGAAATATACCGAGAGCATATTTTTGTCTTCTTTCTGTTTATGCAGGAAGCGGCTCTTGCCAAAACAAGGGAGTTGAAGAAGCTCTGCGAAAGCACGCTGTCCTCCATGTTTGATGGGAGACCAGTTCATATAATCGGAGAGATCAACGCGTTATTATTGAGCAGCGGCGTTGGGGCATAGTTGTAGCAAGGGAATCAATGGTTGGACTAAATGTAGACGAACTTTAGGTTTCAGTTATATCAGAAGAACACACATTTTGTGGCTCGTTTGTTTCAAGTAGGATGATGACAATCTTGTGTTGGATCGTCAAATCCTATTCCCCAGCTACTGTAATCCAACCATGACAGGGAATTTTAAAACTTTGCAGAATTTTTTGCTTCGACCGTAGATGAAACTTTACAGAAAACATTACAGTGCTCAGAAAATTTATGCATTTGTGTGTTGCAGTAACCGTAGCAGGTATTCTCATTTACAGGTGAGGATCAAAACTTTGACTAACGGTGGTTAGTATCAGAGAGGGTTTAGAGGGAACCTATGCTCAGCAGCTAGGGAGAGTAGTAGCTGACTGTGGGGGAGCTGGCGAATCCTGTAATGGTGGAACGGAACGATCTATCGAATGGGTCATCGATCCCTTCGCCAGCAGCTGCAATCCCGCTTTTCTGAACCAGACGACTCAGAGATTCTGCGATCTCACTCATTGGAGGCCTGAACAGCATCTCTGGCTGTTGAGGAACAGAATCCACCAGAGTCAAATTAGAAACAGCATTACATTTACTTCCGAGTCTCTGGTAAGCGTAATATATATAAACTACCTGAGTACAAAGGGAGATGATGTCTGCAAATCCAGATAAAGACTTCAAAGACAGGCTTCTCCTGTTGATGCATGGATCAACCATCTGCACCAGCCATTCACTGTCGTGAAGTCGGCGGGAAGCCCATTTCACCAGAAACTGCTCCTTCCTTGGTCTCGAGCTAAAACAAAGAAAGGAAGACGACCACAAAGATCAACTAATAAGCTCTTAGAAAGGGAAAGACTCTGAAGACAGACGAGACCCAGTTTGTAAATTCACCTATCGAATGGTTTCCTTCCAGTCAGCAGTTCCAGAAGCAACACTCCAAACGCAAACACGTCGCTCTTGGTACTGTCAATCCCTGGCTCCCCATGTTCTGGTGCAATGTATCCTGTTTCCTCCAGCGCTATTTCAGAAGCCTTCACTTTGACGCTGTTGCAAGTCAGGGGCCTCAGGATAGCCAGCCCAGCGTCACAGAGACGAGGCACCAGTTCTTCATCGAGCAACACGTTCGAGGCTTTCACGTTGCCATGAGCAACCGGAGGGCAGAAAGTGCAATGCAAGTACTCCAGTGAGCGAGCAACGCCTAGTGCAACGTTCAGGCGGACCATCCAAGGTAGTGGTTTGTAACCCTGGCCATGAAGTACCTCGTCGAGAGGCAAGCTTCTGACGTGTTCATACACAAGGAGATGCTGGCCGTCTTCAACGCAGTAGCCTAGCAGGGCTAAGATATTTGGGTGCCGAAGCCGAGATACAGTCCATATCACCTCCATCAATCGTTCTTCTTCCTCGAAAGACAGCGACACTGTGTTCACGTTCTTCACTGCCAATACCTGAATGGAAAAGAGTCAGTAATTTTGCAAGTAAAAACACGTCAAACAGCCCAGTAGCTGAGTTCTGGAATGATTAGGGAATGAAAAAATGGAATTACTTGGCCGTCAGGAAACTCAGCTCTGTACACCCCACCAAGAGATCCTTCTCCAAGAAGGTTATCTTCACTGAAGCTGTTGGTTGCATACTGGAGTTCTTCCACTGTGTAAATTCTTGCGCTGGCTGGAGCCCTGTTGTTCCTACGTAAACTCTTTCCCCCAGACAATCTTTTGGTTCTCGATCGCACACTAAGTGGCGTACGGCTTCGACCCAGAAAGGTGGGTGGGCTAGCTTCATATGCTGTTCCAACCATGAGAATGACAAAATTGAATTAGTATCTCGTTTTCAAATTGCATAATGTTAAAAAGGAAATTGAAGTTTGGTTTCTTACCATTGTTTGTCTCGGCTGGAAAGGCATCAGATCGCTTCAGACGCACTGCAATGAAAATTGCTGCACCAGTGACCACCAGAGTTAATCCTCCAACAATAAAAACGACTCCTCCCAGGCTCAGCAATTTCTTCTTCTGTTTAGCCACCCTGAAAGACGGATGGTTCTCCACTATGGCGGCAGGATGATTCTCGACTATGGCACTTGACTCCGTCGTCGGACGAGTGCTGAAATTCTGCGTAATAGTTGTTGGATTCTCCCTTGGAAAGCTCCAAGGTGGATAGCCAGGTGCCTGATGGAATTGATTGCCGTCCATCCTAGCCAGGGAGGAACAGATAAAGAAGGGGAGTCAATGAATCATGCATGGCAGATAAGTCGAGGACTATTAGAATTTAGAAAGCAGCAACATTTGAAACAAAGATGTACCACAAATCTGGTATTGTCTGAAAGTTAGTTGGAATAACACCACTGAAGTTATTGGACTGGATGTTCCTGAATAAGCAAACATACAACAAACGGATTAGTGAAGATGAAGGTTAACAAGGAATGGAGTATGAGGAAAGAGGTGAGGGACGAAAAACCAACAGGTCAGAAAGAGGAAGATCAGCGAGGTAAACAACTGATCCAGTGAACTGGTTTTTCTGCAGGAACCTGCAGATACATCTCAAAGGATAAGGATTCTGAGCCAAGTTGGTACTTAATATATGTTGAACTGTGGATTTCATGAAAACTCACAATCTGGTTAGATTAGTCAGAGATCCAAATGAACTAGGAAGGTCTCCAGTGAAGCTGTTGTATGATAGATCCCTGTTATATAAAGAAGAAACAAAGTTAAGCCTACTTTGATTCAGTCACTACTCACTACCAATTTCTGAAACTGAGAGAGCAGAAATTCATACATCTCTTTCAGACTTTGCAGACCAGCAAACACATTGCCAATTGGACCTGACAGCATGTTATGGCTTAGATTCCTGCAGGATAACAATCAAAGATCGCTTGTTACATACACACCAACAGAAGGGGAACAGGATCTGAAAAGATAAAATCCAACAGGCGGGGGAAGTTACAGATTTCTGAGGAGTTTAACATTGGGCAAAGATTGAGGTATATTATGCTCTAAGCTGTTGCATGCTAAGTTTCTGCAGAAGTAAAACATCAGCAGGAGTCTCAAGCATTCGTATTTGTTCAAAATTCAGAATCAGAAAATATGAGAAATGAAGAAACTCACAAGTGGGTGACATTAGGGGGTAAGCTGTAAGGAATTTCACCAGTGATGTTATTGTAGCTAAGATCCCTAAGAACATAACGAGAGAAGATTAATCCAGGGAAGTTCCATCATCTGAACTCAAGCTAAGAAAGAGTTGACTCACAGTTGCCTCAACCCACGGAGCAGATGGAGCAGGCTCCCCATGTATCCACTCAAGTTCAAACCCTCAAGCTTACTGCAACAGTGAATGATATTAGCAAGAACAACGAGAAGCCCAGACGCAGCTTTAAAATTGTTAATGAAAGCTTAGTTGAATGAAATCAGAAACAGGTAAAGAGAAAGGGCAATTACAGGCGGATAACAGAAGATCCAGAGCACGAGACGCCCATCCATGACTCTCCACATGGATCTCCTCCATCCAATCTCCAGCGCTTCAGTTGTGGCGGGCTATTCAAAGCCCTGTATTGATCTTCAAGGGCTAGCACTGCCACAGAGAAGCCATTTCAATCAAACACTCACCAGAAGCCCAAGAAAGTAAGGGATTCCGATCGATTCAATCAACAGGTTTCTTCAATATTAAAATTAAAGACTCTGATTCTTGAACCGGTTGTTAACCTGAGCTCTAGAACACATTCGATTTTCCCGCATTTTCTCGGCGCCCAAACAGGAAATTCAGATCAAATTCTACTGAGAAACTATACCTCAATTGCAGTAAACAAGCCTAACTACTGACGATTAATTCAATTAAACATGAATAACATCCAGATAACGAAGAAATTTTTATGTGCATTGAACTATACCATCTGGTGGATCCGTAATCGCCCAAACTCGTGCAGCCAGAATCATCCAGAGAGCAATCACTAAGCAGAAGGTATGTGGCCCCTGTTCCCTCATTTTCTCTCTGTTTCCCTGGAAAACGAGCGAGAAAATGCGTTCAGTACCGAGAATCATTCCTTCAAAGTTTGGATTCACAGAAAATCAAGAGAGCGAACGAGGAAAACAAGATTCAGAGCTTCTCAATCCGTCGAGCTGTATCTACCAAGGAGTCCAAGGACTGAATTGGCTATGAGGATGAGATGACCAGAATCTTTCTTCAGTTTTCCCCTTCCACTTTCCTGGGAACCAAACAGTCCTTGGTAGCCTTCAAGAAGCAGAGAGGAGAAGGGAAAAAACGAAAGAACTCTCCACTCAGGCAGAATTCAGAAAGATCGGGTCACTAGCAGGAGCAGAAATGGAGGAAAGAGAGGAAAGAAAAAGAAAATGAACTCAGAGAGAGAGAGAGGGAGGGGGGAATTAGGTTTTCGTGGAACTAACTTGTGAAGAGGATTTTGATTTTCCCTTCTGCCTCTAGAGATGGAGAGAGCTAAGAGAATGAGGGCGGGAAGAATGTGATGCAATTTTCAGAAGCTCACTCCAAGTGACGGAGAGAGAGAGAGAAAAAGAGCGAGGAAGAAGACGGTCAATGGCTATTTATACGGTACGCCACGTCAGCGTAAGCCCATTATGGTTGTTATAAGGACGACTTCCCCGTGATCCAGATTACGAAGCCCGGCCCAATAGCGGCCCATTCATTCCGTGTTTTTTTTCTTCTTCTTCTTCTCTCGAAGTCTGAAACAATGGCGGAATCGCCCGAAACCGTCGGTCTGGGAGCTGCCGGACGACGAGAGGAAGGTGAAGAAGAGGAAGACTACATGGAGACTTCTCTCAGTTCCTTCCCCCGGAGGCATTGAACCCCCCGAAATCCAAGTTAACGAACAAAAAGGTCCATGTTCCAATTCCGTGCTCAGGCTTCCCTTGCTTCGCAGTGTATCAGCATTGTGAGATCTTCCATGGAATTCGAGAAAGAAAAAAAGTCAATCCAAAGTTCCAATTTGGGTGCTGTTCAGCTATTGGGTAATTATGCCTGGCGAGCAAAACCCTAGCTCAAGTTTGATTTGGTGCTGCAATGCGATTTGCCTAGTGTTACAGATTGCTAGCATCGAATCCCAAGCACTCCAATCTTCGAAGAAGAAGAACTCGAAAGCAGCAGTGAGCGGGCAAGAGAAACGCAGGATTGAAAGGGAGGGAAAGCAAAAAGGAAGAGGATGAAGAAATGCTGGCTAAGAAGGATGAAAATGAGGAAGATGAGCAGGGTGAGGAAGAAGAAGTGGCGACAGGACAAAAGAGGTATACTTGTTTTACTGTGCAAACACAGAATCTTGCATTACAAGTTTTATCCCGCCATTTTTCTATCTCCCTGATGGGCAGAACAGTAGGCGAGATATCTGCAAGTGGCTACTTGTTTTACTGTGTTCTGTTGCTCTGTGATGCCATTACAGAATATGTTGGTGGCTGATATATCTCCATGGTTGAACCACTGCAAGCTCATTTGGAGTGAAAGCTCATTTGCAAGTGCAGTCTATGGCCTTCCCCAGGTTTATGAAGGGATTCTCGGCTCATTTCTGCATCTTATGCGACACGATCACCGACGATAGATTAGCTAATGACGAATACATTAGTCAATAGCAAATGTAGCATCCATTATCCTGGTACATCATTTTAGCAAATACAGGCCAACAAGTTATGCCATACTTCAAAGCCAAGTTCTTCCGCGAGCTGTTGTCCCTTAACATGGTTGCAGAAAAACTAGATGGAGATTCATTCCCATCGTTGGAAAAAAAGCTTAACAAGTTCACAAACCGGCAGAGGCTGCTTAGAGCGACCAGTTGATGTGCTGATTGTCGGAGGAGCCATATGGTGGTCTGGAATGCTCCTCCATATCCATAAACTGCCTCCTCGAGAAAAGCGACATGTCGAGCTCACTCGACAGCTGGGTGCTGGTACCCGAAGGCGGTGGAACATGACCGAGGCCGAGATCAGAATGCATCATCCCGTGCGAACTGCTAACACCACCATCACTGCCGCCCTTGAAACCCCAGGTGTTATGGTAAGGAGGAGTAGTACCACCGGGAGGAGTTGTGATGGGTGCTGCTCCTTCCACATCCACCACCAAGTTGCTGCCGCTGATGGCGTGACTTGACGACGATGCGCTGCTTCTGGAGCTCCATTGTTGCTGATTTGACAGAAGAGAGAGAGCACAGCTCGAGTCCACGATGCTGCCGACCCCTGTGTTGTTGTTGTAACATTCCCCCGAACCTGGAAACCCTGTCCCACCGTGGTATACATTCGGCGGGGGATTCTGCTGCCAGAGATGGGGAACCGACCTTCCCGCTGCAGTTTCAGATGATCGCCCAGACGGCGGCCATGCTTCCCTGCCGGGTGACCTCGGGAATGCACTGAAGTCGAGAAGAAACCCGCCCCTGCCACTTCCACCGTCATCTGGTCGACATTGAGACGACAGACAGGGAAGATGTGAGTGCAAAGTTGCCTTGGAAGAGTTAAAACAAAGGATTAGAGGCACAATGGTATCTTTACCGAAAAGACTCGACGACAGTCTGCCATAGCGAGATGACAACAACGAGCCAGATGGGGGCTTCCTCCTGCGCTCGTTATGCCCAGCCAGCCGCCTGCGGCAACTCCTTTTCCCTTGGTCGAATTCCGAGAGCTGATGAAACCTGAAACATAATACAAGAGGCTATTAGCCAGTGATAGAGATGAATAGAGAATTATGATCGGTAAATGATGATCGAGAATCAGGGTTACAAGCTATGAGTTGAAACCTAGATACTCCTCAGTCAGTAGCCTCCACAATCAGCCCCATGTAATTCAGCTATAGCTAGTATGGAGAAACTGAACTCTGATAAACAGAGCATTAGCGCACTCAAGAACACCTGTTTCTGTGCAATGGATGATTGCTACGCGGAGCAGACGATTAAACCACCCGCGAAGGGTAAAGCATTATGATCGGCACAAATGGAGGAAGAACACAAAGCAAGAGGCTTTACAACAATCCATCGGAAACCCACAAGATTGGAGACAAACCTTGCTTAAGATCAGCAATCAACGGCAGGCAAAAGAAGGCTACCAAAAATATAAAAAGAAGCACAACAAGAAACAGAAAGCCATGGAAAGCTACCGTTCAGCAAAGCTAAAACTAAACCCAAAGCCAGGTGGTAAATTTTAACAGTACGAACAAGGATATCCTAGCATATAGATTACGAAACTGAAGAGCAATCCAGCAGTGATGAAGAAAACCCACATAACAAGGGAGAGACAGAGAGAGAGTGTGTGAAAATGGTAACCTGCTACACTGCTGGCAGAACCTCTGCTGCAAGCCAGCAACAATGACGGTAGGGGTCTTGGAGTGAGTCCCGCAGACTTTGTGCCTGGAGTAGTAAGGCTTGGCATCGCTCAGATCCAGGCTGCAACCTTCAACTTGGCACCTTGGGATAATCTGCTGCTGCGGCGGCGGCTGCTGCGGCTGTGGAGCCTTCCTGGCGGCGGCGCCGGAAGGCGGCCTGGCGGCGGCGCCGGAAGGCGGCCTGGCGGCGGGTGGAGAAGTGGAGAGCAGACCCACATGATCCCCGAAATAGATCTTCTGCCCAAATTGCAACCCATTGATGCTGTTGGACTCGGCAGCTGAAGTAACAGAAGAAGAGGAGGACGAATTGGGAGGAGAGAAGGAAGAAACAGAGTGGTGGGAGGGGAAAGTGTTTCCCCCTGAACCCCCAATGTCCATAATTGGTGCCTGCAAGCAAACCCACGAACCAAATCGCTCTCTCTCTCTCTCTCTCTCTGCCTACACAGCTTCTGATTCTCCCATGGAGGGTTAAACAAGTTGCAAACACCAACAGGAGCAACAACAGCGACAATCAGTCAAGCTAAAGAGGGGAAGCACAGAGAAAGAGGGGAGAAAGTAAGTACAAAAGGCAAAGTTTGCAATATATTATTGTTGATATTGAATGGAGAAGGAGGGAGAGAGAGAAAACCAGGGGAATGATGGTTTGGTTGGTTGGGTTAATAGCTGCGGGGCAGGGGAAGCTGTTAATAATAAGTAGCTTCACTGTAAAAAGAAAAGATGGGGGAAAAGCAGAGCAAATGCTGACGATGGATGGGCCATTTATATAAATTTGGGAATGGCAGCCAGCCAGAGCTACCAGACTGACTCAGAAAGACAGAGAGAGAAATAGTGAGGAATTTGGTTGTTTGCTTGCTCTTTTGTTTATTTTTATTTTGCTGAAGGGGGTGGAAGAGAAGTAAAAGTTTGTCAAATCCATTTATGTTGGTTTGATAAGTGGTATGTTTTGAGTATGACTAGTGTTTTAATAAGTTTATTTTTGCTGGCAACCGAGTTGGGTTGGGGTCTAGCGTTAATGCTCGGGTCATGTTGGGTTGACTAATTTTGAGTTAAATATTGACCCAAATTTATCAGATTTTGGGTCGGGTTATAGATTGTTTTCAGTTATGAGCGCTCTCAGAAACAATATCAAATATGCTTCATATTTTTTTAAAGAACACAAATTTTCACATGTGCATGACAATAGTTTACGTAACACATGTCACTTGACAAATTCTCAAATCCTCCCATGCTAATGAAATTAAATACAAATTGTACAAATCATAAAAAACAATCACTAGAGCTAAATGAATCTTATTGCTTGGGTTAGAGAAGTGGTGATTAGAGTTCACCTATTAGAGGTTAGGGTATAGTATCTTGCTCCAAACTACAGTTAATTCATGATTAAAATAACAAAACTCGACGGACGTACGTACGGTAAGCGTACATCTGACATATGTTAGTCTGAATCCAACATTTAATGCAAGATCTATATTCATATTTTTATAAAATACAATCTATTCATATTTAAATACAACATTTAATGCCAACATTCAAACATTTATACTTGAATTCAACAAAACAACATAACAATCTAAACATTCGTACTTGAATCGGGCAAATAATATCAACACTTAACTTTCAAATTCAACAAATAAATCTCTTCTTTTTTTTATTAATTGAACTCACTAAAACGATATCATTTTCTATTGCTGTCAACAATCGATCATACGGTTGACATACCAACCGGTTACCCGGCTGAATTCGGTTCTAGGGGCTGGCATGACACGAGTTTGACAACCATGGAAGTAGGGGTGTACATGGGTCGGGTGGTCCGGGTTTAGACATTTTAATCACCCGATCCATGCACTACGGTTTGGAAAATATTAAACCCAAACCCACCCAAAAAATTTCAAACCCTACGGTTTGTTTCTAATTGGGTTGGGTCGGGTTGGCAATGTTTTTAAGTAAAAACCCAACCCAACACAAAATATGTAATTATTCTACACCATAAAAATATTTTATAACTAATTAAAAATTCAAACGAATAAACCGAGGTGAAAGGTATCAAAAATTCACAAATGTTGTTTGAATTTTAATAAAATTTGATTTACTTCAACTTATATCTAGTTTTTTTCACGACATTTGTTGAAATAGGCTAAAAATGTTATCAATGAACGCATCCATAAAATGTTATTCTATTAAAATTGTACACAAGAAAAAGAATTATGTGAATCATAGCTATATTAAATTTATGTCTAAACTTTAAGCTGAAGAATGCATTAGATTAGGGAGACCACGAGAGAAAAATATGGTGAAATATCTTAATTTTCTCATAACTATGGCTATATATGACATAAATATTTTTTGGATGCAAACTCATACCAATTATTTGAACACGGGTTGGGTCGGGTTCTACGGATTGTATAATCTAAAATCCCAACCCAACCCAAAAGAGGCGGGTTGTACAATAGAAAACCCTCACCCAACCCAAAATCTTCGTTTTAGCGATAAATACGAATGGGTTGAGTTGGGTTGAACGGATGAGTCGATTTGCGAGTGTGTTTGTTCACCCCTGCATGAAAGCACCTCCACAATGCACTGACTCACTACTCACTGAAAGCGACAGTCTTTCTCGCTCCACTTTCTCTGTGGCTCTCTCTCTCCCAAATAATGGAGGAGGCACAGTCGCTATTTTCAATATGACTATGACTGTGATGTAACATTACTTACTATTTTTTTTTTTGACAAGGACACTATCATTTCATTAATAGAGGTCAAAGCTCGACCTTACAGTAGGGGGGAAATTACATCCAGAATGTTAATCCATTCCTCTGGCAATTGGTTCTTGGCGCATGACCTAGCAACCCAGTCAGCCATGGAATTCCTTTTCCTATTTATCCAGTCGATTCTGATGTTGGGATATCTGTTGGTGATGTTGAGAATGTTCCCCAGACTGGCTGCTGCCCGCCACGGCCAACAGCTTGGGCTTTCACGAAGAGCCTTGACTAAGGTCAGGCAGTCCGAGAAGACCCTACAGGGGGTGTTGAGGATCACCGCAGACCGTGTTCCCTCCAGAAGGGCATAAGCTTCCGTCTCTATTGCTGAAAAACAGTGTAGGTGCTCAGCCTTCCCGTCCACAACTTCACCATGGCTGTTCGAAATAACAACGCCATATGCCGCCTCCTGGGAATCGTGAAAAAACGATCCATCACAGTGTACTACCATATAGTGGGTACCTGGCGGTGGTGATACTGTTTCAGGGGGTGAAACAGGCTGAGATTGTGATGATGTGATTTTGATCTTGGGGCAAGCTCTCCAACTTTGGGCTTCCTCCATTGCTCGGGAAACCGTGACGAAAGCCCCCGGGGATTTGTCTTTGAAAACCCTGTCGTTCCTTGCTTTCCAGATATGCCACATCATGTAAATGCTGTTTTGGATAATCTCTGCAGGCACCGTGGATGATAATTCAAACAGCCATTCCAGTACATTAGTCAAGGGAGGGGGGGTGGTTAGTCCTGGGCACAGCAGAGTCCATCCTTCCTGCGCGTGGGGGCATCTGAAAAGGCAATGGTGAATGGTTTCCGTCGGCTCGTCACACACTGGGCAAGATGGGGTATTAGAACACCGGCGTCCATACAGGCCGTGTCTAGTGGCCAAGGCCCCTCTAGAAGCTCTCCAAATAAAGAACTTCATTTTTGGGGGGAGATGAAGCCCCCACAGCCATCTCCATCTTTCCTTAGTCATGTCTGGGATGAGCAGCTCTTCCCCTCTATCTCTTCTCCATTGGTGGTGGATCGCGTGGAAAGCCGACTTGACCGTGAAAGCACCCTTATCGTCATATCTCCATGCCCAATAATCTTTCAAAGTAGAGGGGCCAACTGGTGTAGCAATCACCTCCTGCATTTCCGACTGACTGAGGACTTCCTGTAAAACATCAAACCTCCATTCCCGCGAGATGGGGTCAATACATTGAGCAACAGACGTGGTTGACGTGTTGGAGTCTTGTCGCAGTGGCCCTGATCGTGCGAATAGCCATGGATCATGAAGCAGGCTAGTATCCTGGCCACTGTTGATAACCTTGATGATCCCCCTTTCCATCCATTTCCTTGCCTCCCAGATACCTGCCCATATCCACGAGGCTCTGCTTCCCTTCTTAGCTTTTGTAAACTCCCCTCTTGGAAAATACAGAGCCTTCAATACTCTGACCCATAAGGCTTCTGGATTAGTGAGAATGCGCCAAGCTTGCTTTGCAAGCAAAGCGAGGTTAAAGATGTGAAAAGGGCGGAATCCCAGCCCTCCTTCTCTCTTATGGGCATAGAGTACTCTTCCTGCTCTCCAGTGGATGGCCTTTTTAGTCAATGATCCACTCCAGAAGAATCTTTTGAGTAGGGCATCCATTTTGGTAGTCATTGATTTAGGGAGTAGGAACAGGCACATAATGTAAGCGGGAACTGCTTGGAATACTGCTTTTAGAAGAGTTTCCTTCCCTCCTGGAGAGAGTAGCAAACTCTTCCATGCCTCTCCTTTGGCTTCCATTCTCTGTATGAGGTAGTGGAAAGTCTCTTTCTTCGATCTGCCCCACTCCGTTGGGACTCCCAGGTACTTTGAGTGATCATTGGATCCCTCGAACTCAATGGAACTGGAAATAGATCCCTTCTCCTCCTCCAAAACGTTTTGGCTGAAGAACACCGCTGATTTTTCCCGATTCACTTCCTGTCCCGTAACCGACCCGTAGAGATCTAGAATTCTCAGAATGGCCTGAGCTTCCTGTGCAGACGCCTCTCCGAAAATCACTGTATCATCAGCGAAGAGGCAATGGGTCAGCAGAGGGCAGAACCTGTTCAGCTTGAGTCCTCGAATCACCTGGTTCTGTACCGCTTTGTCGATGAGGAAAGAAAGCGAGTTTGACATAAGAATGAACAGCAGGGGGGAGAGTGGGTCTCCTTGTCTCAATCCTCTCGTCGGGGTAAACTCTGAAGACGGCTCCCCATTCACCAGAATTCGGAATTTCACTGTTGAGATGCAGGCTTTGACCCAGGCGACCCAAACTTCGGAAAAACCATAAGCTCTTAACAGATACAGCAAAGATTCCCACTCAACGAGATCATAGGCTTTTCGCATATCTAGCTTTAGCATCATGTCTTTGCGGCATCCTGTTCTGTTCTTCTTGAAGTGGTTTAACACTTCATGTACAATGACTATGTTGTCTTGAATCTGCCTACCCCCTGTAAAAGCTGCTTGAAGCTCGTTCACCAGAATTGGCAGCCAGATTTGCAATCTGTTGGTCATGATTTTTGTGATGACCTTGTACTTGAAGTTGCAGCAGCTAATAGGGCGAAATTGGGTAATCTTTTCTGGAGTGTCCACTTTGGGAATAATTATTATGAATGTATCGTTCCATGATTCTGGCATCACACACGTGCTGAAAAAGTCTCTAATCTCTTTACACACTTGCTCGCCCACCAGATTCCAAAATTTCCTGAAGAAAAGGCCCTGGTACCCATCTGGACCGGGTGCTTTGTTTGCTCCCAGTTGGAATACAGCCTTTCGTATTTCTGTAGAGGTAAACTCAGCAGTGAGCTCTGCGTTGATCTGGGGTGACACCAGCTGGGGGAAGCCTGCCATTAGAGACTGGTCG